GAAGTTGGATACGATCAGAGCACAATATATGCATAGATGGAAATGTCACAGTGAAACCCATGAATCTGAACAATGAGTGTGTATTAATAACAAAAAGCTCAAGCAGCAAAGTAGGAAATGAAAGTGCCTTGCACCCTACAATTTCTTATCTAAATTTCATGCTGTTTTAAATGAAAAAGGCAGGTGAACAATATGCCAGTATGAACTCACCTTTTAAAAATAAAATGTTAGCATATATTCATAAGGAAAAGCCTGGAGGATTCACATAAAAATGTGAAGTGTGTTTGGTGGGAAGGTAGAGATTGCTGGCATTTTTCACAGCTCCTTGGCTTTTCATGGTCTCGTCAGTGTCCATGGTGGCTGACCCCCTTTGAGTTTTCCTGCAGTCACTGCCTCCCTGCCATCAGTCTGGCCACTTGGCTTCCAGGGGCTCTTGTGAAGACCTGGATGTCCCCTGCTGTTGTGCCAGGGATCCCAGAGTGAGCCCTGAGGTTCAGTAAACATCAACAACGGAAAGGATATTTGTTTCCTGATTCTGGGGTTTGCTGAGACACTGAGGAGTTCTGCATGGCCAAGGAGAATGCATTAAACCAAGCCTGAGTTTGGAATTGAAGTGTACAGGAGGACGCTCAGGACAAAACAAAGATAAAACCCAACAACTCACACTAACTTAAAAAAATAAAGGGTTTATTGGTATATGTAACTCAAATATAGACCCTCCAAGTTTCAGGCATAGCTGGATCCAGGTGCTCAAATGAATCTCTTAGTCTCTTCAAGCTGTTTTCCTTTGCTGGCCTTGCTCTGAGACAGGTTCTGTCTGTGTGGTGCTGAGATGACCCTTCAGTGGCTCTGCGTTCACATCCTAGCTGCTCAGCAGTTGTGGCATATAGGGTTTCACGATTCCAGGGAACCCAGAAAAAGTCACAGAGCGGGCCTGATTGGCCAGACATGGGTTTCCTGCTCGTTTCTGAGCCATGCACCAAGGTACTCATTGGCTAGTGCTGAGTCACAGAGCCTGTCCAGTCCCAAGGGTATGGTGTCAGCTCTACCAGAACCCACGGTGGGGTGGGGGAGGTGGGTTTCACAGGACAATGTGGGGCTATTGGTGGGGTGGGCGGGGGCTGCCAGGCAGAGCTCCCCTGTCAGCTGGTTTGGAAACTCTACTCCACAGCCACAGAATTGCCTCGTCAGGGAAGCTGGATTCCTCGCCACACCCTACCCTCAGCTCTTGGATGAACAGTTGAGGGTGGTGTACATGGGCAGGCACGGGGAGGTAGGGAGAGACCTTTCCAGGGATCCATTTCCAGAGGAAATGACGAAAAGACTCGGGAGCCATGGCCACATCACTGATCTCTGGGCCTGAGTAACCTCATCTGGGTCCATCCTGCCAGGGACTACAGGTTTTAGGTTGTGTGGGTATTTTATGGATGAAATGACTGGAGTACAGCGGCCCCTCCCTTTCCAGGGACTGGGAAGGTTTCTTAGTGGATTCCAGTTGATTGCTGGGACCATGCTGGGTGGGGACAGTACTGTTTGTCTGGGAGGGGCCTGTTGGCTTGGCTATAAGCCAAGGGGAGTGTGGAAGCTATTTCTGGCCAAGCCTGAGGTGGATACAAAGTGTGGGGGCGGGAGGTGAGGGGCACTTGGAGAGGAAACCTGAGCTGGGGCTGGAGCCCAGGGTCTGGGAAGCAGGGCTGCTGCTGCTGGATGAGGCTCTGGGTGAGGCCCTAGCAGCTAGAGGGGAGCGAGTAGGACAGGAATGTCCCCGCGCCCAGGCACCTGTCCTCTGCTTGTTGCCCTTTTCACCCCACCCCACCCCACAAACACTCCTGGAAAGAAAGCAAGGAAACCGCACCGTCCTGCAGGCAGTACCTGCTCTTCCCATGGGGATGTCAGCAGCAACTCAAGAGCCTGCCCGGGAACAGGAGTCGTGGAGGTGTTTGAGAGCCCACTCAGTCAGGTGTCTCTGCGGTGTGAGTAGGCCCAACCGGGGGCGCTGTGCTGCAGATTGGAAGCTTGGGCTCGAGAGGTGAAGCGACTGCCCAAAGACACACAGAGAATGAGCCGCCGTGGTCAGTGTCTGAGTGCCTGAGTTTAGGGCTCAGGAATAATCATGATACAGAGTGCATCAAAAGTTCGGACAGGTCGGCAAGACCATGCCTCCTGTAGCTCAGTGGTAGAACACCCCTGGGCTCTACCCCTCATGCCAGCAAACAGAACACGCAAGTGCTGGCTAAGCCAGGGCTGCTTTCAGGAAACTCAAGCCACCGCCACCGTGAGGAGGGATGGCAGGAACGTGGAAAAAGCAGGCTGTACTCTGGGCCTTGAAGAGGGGCTTGGAGGCAGTGACTTGGCCACAGTGGCACACGGGCGAGGGCCTGAGTGCTGCACACGACAGTCTGATCCCAGCCCAAGCTTTCCTTGCTGTGATCTGTGCAGTCTGGACAGGAGGAAATGTGCAGGGAAAAGCTTTCCAGGGGGAGGGAACAGCAGAAGCAAGGGCACTGACGGAAGTAAGTTGGGGGCACTTGGGACAGGGCCAACACCCTGGCAGGGGTCTCTGCCAGCGGTTTGTGGGTCACGCGCTGTGGGCTGCGGGTGGGAGCCCCAGCGTTTGCTGAGATAACTGATGAGTCCCCACCTCCTCCTGTGGGTTCTTGGGTGGGGGAGGGGCGCACAAAGCCCTGCAGTGTAGGGCCCCAGAGACGGGGCTGGAGCACACAGAGGGGCAAGCCCTGCTCCTAGTGGACCCATACCGAGTGTCCCTCTGCTGCCTGGGCGGCTGTGGATGGACAGGAAGCAGCCATTTCTTCCGTGAGCTGCAGAATGGCCTCTGTGTGCACCACAACAAAAAGGCTTTTCTGCCAAGTCGGAGGGAAGGAAGCGGCCAGCTCAGCCGGCCTTGGCCTGAAAGGAGGCTCTGTTGGGGTCTTGGATGCACGGAATATAGGGGACGGGAGACAGGGCCTCCTCAATGCTGTCTGGTTCTCCCGAAGCACCAGGTAGGGTGGGGTGGGTTGTTGTGCAAGTCAGTCTGATCTAGCATGAGGCTTTCCTTGCTGTGTCACTTCCTCTGAGCCCACTTCTCCTCCAGGTAAAATGTGAGTGGAGAGCACGCTAGCTGGCAGGGCTCAGTCACACGCTTTGCCTGTGCCCGGTGCCAGGGCTGTTGTCAGCACCTGACGGCCTCCCACCCTCTATTCATCTGTGACAGCCCGAGTTAGGCTGTGTCACTCCCTCCACTGTAGCCCTGGTATTGCAGGTTGGGGTTCAAGCTCTAGATGTTTTATACTGCAACTCCAAGCTATGTTAACACAGAGAAAACAGGTTAGAAGGAAACGCCAAACTATTTTTGTTTGGTTTTTTGAGGCAGGGTCTCACTATGTAGCCCAGGCCGGCACTGGACTTGTGATCCTCCTGCCTCTGCCTCCCAAGCACTGGGATTACAGGCATGCGCCACCACACCCAGCCAGAAATGCCTAACTGTTGACACTGATTGTGTTGACTTCTATTTTTCTTCTTGCTCTTCTTTAATGTCTTGATTTTCTTTCTCAGGAATTAGCAAAATGTAAAGGAAAAAGGTGCTGAGGGAATGGGGGCCATGAGGGGCCCAAGCTGAGTTTAGCGTACGTCACATTAAAAAGGGTCTACAGATGCATGTTTTTGTTAATCCCGGAGAGGAGGTGGGGTAAGGTCCTGGGTAGCATGGGCTGTGGCCAAGCTATTACACTCCTCTCCCCTGCCCCCTGAGAGGATAAACAGGGAGTGTTCTTCCAGCAGCCTGCCCCTTTGGACACTGGCTTTCTCCGGTGTTGTAGCTGGGGGCTGGGGGTGGAAGGCTCAGGCGGCTTCCTGAGGAGCTGAGGCTTCTGCCAAGTCTCTCCTCTGGCCTTGGCTCTGAGGAAGAGTGCAGTGAGGGAGGCCTCTCACCCTCTCCTTTCTCATCCCTTTCAGGCTGCCGTCCACCTGCCTGGGAACCCCTCAGTTTCTGGGCAACCCTAGAGCTACAGGCAGAGGGCAGCCCTGGGTGGGACCCTGGACGCTTGCAGCAGGAAAGCTGAGAAGATGGTGTCGGCCCTGGACCTGCTGTGGATGCCAAGGCCTCTGTGGTGAGGGAGCTCACAGGCCACTTCCTAGATGAGCTGAGAGGCTTTGGGCTTCCTACTCTCCTCAGCCAATTCCCACACAAAGAGAGGAAGGGGTGGGATCAAGGGGGCTGGGGCCCAGCACAGATTGCAGGACTCTGTAGAGAACTGTGGGGGCCCAGCCTGCTCTGCGTCTGGAGCCGGGCCCCTCCTAAGACTGACCTTTGCATTCCGGGGGCCCAGCCTTGTAGCTAATAGGTGTGGCTGAGAACATGGGTGTGAGTCTAAGGCCATCCTTCCAGCTACCAGCTACAGCCACACATGCCCAGGGGCACCACCCCTTTGCTCTCTGCGCTCCTGAGGCACCACTGTACACAGCTTGAGCAGGCCTGTGGTGGGATTTTCTGCTGCTTCCAAGACAAGATGTAGGTCTTGCTGTCTCCTTATCCTCCAGACAGAGTGTGGTCAGGGGGGCTCTTGGGACCAAAGTGGCCTCACTTCCCAACTCTCTTTGTGCCCAGCTATGGGCTCTTGTCCAAGACAGCTCCCAGGCTGCCCAGAACCCAGTCTGGGTCACTGGCCTGGCTTGGCTCTTCCCACCCTCTTAGACCTGGAGGGCACGTGGGAAGCTGCACCATCCTTTCTCGTTACTGATGAATGGCAAGCAAGCTCTGTACTCCTTCCCTGCCTCACCTAGCAGGCTGACCCGCTACCTCCTCCTCTGGTCTGCTGAGGGCAGCCGCCTTCCCCACTCAAGTCCTAGCCATTAGGAAGGAGCCCCACTGAACTGAGAATAAAGCCTCCTTTGTATTGTGAGTAGGCAGCCTCATCCTAGGTTGGATTTGAACCTCTGCCACTTGCAGCCCCTTCTGACTGCAAGCTGCAGCCTAGGGCCTCTTACAAACAAGGCCACACTTGCCGGCTGTACATTTAATCAGTGCAGATTATTTACAGAAATAAACAGATGGGGGTGGACACCAGACCCCCACCCCCACTCCTTGCTGGCTCTCCAGTTCTGCACAAGTGGCGACTTGGGGGAGCCGCTGGACCCACACTGAGTGCCAACTGATGAGGGGCAGGGAGAATCTCCTGCCCCAGGGGCCTTGGGGATCCTGGGTGACACACCCCACTAGCTCAGGATTGCAGGGAAGCAGCGGGGATGGAGCCGGCTGTACAGTACCATTTCCCACAGCAGCCTCAGCCTCCTGCTGACTCGGGAAAGAAAAGAGAAAGGAGTATCCCTGCCCACCCTCAGGTGGAGCCCAGGAAGAGGGGTCTCCTAGGGCATAGTGGGCTCCCTTAGGGCTTCCACAGTCTGCATGGGGGGATGAACTGCTGGCCTGTCCCCACCAGTCTCCTGGGAGATTAGGGAGCTGGAGAGGAGGTGGCCCGCCCAAGCCTCATGTGTGTGGCACATCAGTGGAAACCAGTCTAGGCACCCACCAGCCCCTTTCCTCCCCAAGGGCCAGGACAGTCGCAGCAGAAGCCTGAGGCTGAGCCAGCTCCAAGACCTCTGAGGACAGTGGTGTAGGGGTGGGGGATGGGAGGAGGCCCAGAGAAGGAGCAGGTGGGTCACAGCTGAGAGAAGGAAAGTCTGGGCAGAGCTGATACCAGTGCTAGTGTCTGGGGAGGGCATTAGCAAGCTCCCTTTGGTCCTTGGTCGGGAAGGCCCAGGCCCCTTCCCAGAGAGGGAGGCATAGGCTGAGGGGTAGGCGGGAGCTGCCCGCTGGTCAGATGGAGTGGGGTTCTCAGGCACAGGGAGCAGAACTGCTGTCGAGGTGGGCTGGGAAGAAACCAAGGCTCAATGTGTCCCACTCCCTGAAAAGGGGCTGCCCTTGGGTAACAAGCTCTTCCTAAGGCAGACAGACTCAGGAGGCGGGGGATCCAGCTAGACTCCTTCAGGGCAACCACAGTGCCCTGGTGACGGCCCTGGGGCTCAGGCTGAGGAGGGACCAAGGCCGAAAGATGCTCACAGCCCTTGTGTCACTGTCCAGAGGTGGGCCTCTGTCTGTCCCTTGTTCTTCTGGCTATGGATGAGCCACAGGTGGATGGGGGCCTGATTTCCTGTCTGGAACAGAACTGCATTAAGAAAATTTAAGCACCCTGCCCTAGTCAGGAAAAGCCGGAACAAATGCTGAATTAAGGTGCCAAAAAGAAAAAAGATACCTGGGCTTAAGTAAACGAGAAAGGACTCTCAAGGGATGTATGCTGGCCGGGAGGGGCCCCCACCCAGACCTGAGTCCCCAAAGGCCCTTGCTGGGGTGCTCCAGGAGCCACCTGGGAACCACAGGCACTGCCCAGCCCTCGAGCACCACATGCTCGGAGCAGGAGGCACAGGTCAGACCCACTCCTGCAGGGAGCGCTTGCAGTACAGCAGCATGCGGGGCGCACCCTTGCGCTGCATCTGCACGAGAGCGTAGGCAACGCCCAGGACACAGAGCAGCAGCAGCAGGGGCACCAGCACCATTACCACGTTCACCGTCCGTGCCACCTCCTCCATCTGCACCACCACGCGGCTGCCCCCATCCCTGTCCTTGTCTCCATCGGCCCCTGCCCCATCGTCCACGTCGCCCTCTGTGCTGTCACCATCCACCCCAGGCTCTGCACCCCCATCAGGGTTGAAGGGTGGACGGGCCACGTCGGGCCATCGGGGTCCGGGTTCCACATGCTCCTGGCAGCCCATGAAGTCCCGCAGGATGGACTTCGGGTATCCAGGCTCCATCCGCAGGCGCTCGTTGTCAAATTTCCAGTACTTGGTGCCCTTGTAGAAGTAGGTGTAGGCTGTGGGGATAAGCAGGTCACGGTGGCTTCAGGCCAGGCCCCACCTGCCACCAGTGGAGGCTCTCAAAGAAGACTAGGGCATGCTTAAGGGGCTTTAACATGCCGGCCTTGGAGTTGTGGATGTAGCTCATTGGTAGAACATGTGCTTAATGTGTTTGAGGCCCTGGGTCCATTCACATCACCAAAGCCAAAAGAAGCCAGTGCAAAAAGCAAACAAAACCCCCAAGTGCCTTCTTTCTTACTTCCTTCCCTGAGCATTTTGAAATACATTATTTTCCAACTTACAGCAGGCAGACTGAGGCTCAGAGGGGTTTGGGTCAAAGACAGAATCCTGGGGCTCCTGGCTAGGCTGACAGGGTACAGGAGGGTCCTGCAGCCTGCCAGGTTGGGGCCTGCAGTCAGAGAACACTGCTGCCCTGTCCTGGGATTGGCTTCATCCCAGAGGCCAGTGTGGCTGTATGGCCTTGGGCCTGCATGGACCTAGCTGCCTGGACTGGCTCTCCGGCCTTGGGGACCTTGCCTGCATCCCACTGACCTGGGAAGGGCAGCTTTAAAGTAAAGGTCGAGTCAGCGCAGCTGCCGAGCAACACCCACACACAGAAGCTAGGAACCAGCCCCAGCGCTGGTAAAGCTAGCAGGGTCTCCCCTGAGCCTGAGACTCCGGACCACGAGAGAACCAAGGCTAACGGTTTTTCTTAAATGCACCAGGGACCCTGCTAGAGAAATAGCCATAGCTCCCTACAGCTCAGTGATGGTGACAGAGACTTCCCTTCCAGGCAGGTATGTGATACCTCAACACTGAGCCAAGCCCACCCCATGAAGTGTGAAGCTCCCCAGAGGCTTCTTGGCTGTGGGATTTGAGGCATGTAACTCAAGGTTTTTGGTTTAGTGTGCCCTTCAATTAGAAGGGGATGATGACGATACAGGAAAGTCCAAGTGGTCAGGCAGCCCCCAGCCCAGAGCCTGGCACAGCTGTGGCCCCCATAGATGCCATCACAATACTGGGGGACCTTGGGCAAGCCCTGTTCCCTGTGCGGGTGGTAGGGGCTGTGATAAGTGCTGAGCAGACTGGGAGGTTACCTGCATCATTGCTCAGGAAGGCCCCTTTGGGGGAGGCAGGGATCCCCTGCCAGACACTGATGGGCTTGGGATAGCCGGGATCTCCATGTTGCGTATCCTCGTTGAAGCGCCAGTACCTGTGATCAGAAGCACCTGGCTGTGGACCCACAGACCTGCCTGCGCCAGTACCCATTCCCCACTGGCAGTGGGCTCTTCTGCGTAGGCAGAAGGGTGAGGAGCCTGCTGGAGCCCTTCTTTCTTTCGGGGAGCAGCACTCACCTGTCCTCCTGGAAGAAGAAGGTATGGCCTGTGGGCTCCCACCAGATGGCCGTGTCAATGCGGTCATAGGGAATGCCCAGGCCGTAGCTGGTCAGCGGCTGTGGGTAGCCAGGTTCCAGGTTTGCTTCTCGGAAGAGCCAGTAGCGGTCACCTGCAGGAGTGGGGCCGTGTGAGGATGGCCTGGGGGCCGGGGGCACAGGAAACGCTCTGCTGGACCCACACACCAACTCAGACTCACTGTTGCCCATCTTGACACTCACACATGCACAAGGTCACACTCATTGGTGTATGTGACAGCCTTGACACCCTCACGCCCAGGACATATACAATGCTGCTCAAGCCAACCACTCACTGGACACTCACAGACACCGGCGACACATTACTAAGTGTGGAGTCAGTGCTCATACTGGATACACCCACATACTATGCATATATGGGAGCCTTCATTCCCACAGTTTTGTAGAGAGGACCAGGGTCTCTGCCTGGCTTCTGAAACTGGTGACTGGGTGCATGGACCACAGTCCCCACTTTTAGCGGCTCAGCCCTGTCCCCACGGAGTTCCTGCCTCACTGAGGCTCAAGCTGGCAGGGCTAGAAGCACAGCCTGCCCATGGTGGGGTGCCGCCCCTTAAGGCCTTTGTCCTGCAGACGGACCAGCAGAGTGGCTTGGGAACCTGCTCTTGTGAGGACAACAGTCAGGGATGGACAGAAATGGAGCTGAGCCCCCGTGCAAGATGGTGGGCAGAGCCTTGGCCCCGGCACAGACAGCCCCTGCAGTGAAGGCCTCTGAATCACCTGGCCTCTTTCTACTCCCGTCGCCACCTTGCTGCCAGCTGCGCCAACCACCCCAGGTGTCCCGGTCCTCCCCAAGAGAGCCCACAGGATGAGTCAGGAGCTGCAACCCTCTGCCTGTCTTCTCCCCTCAGGCTCAGTGGGGTCAGAAGTCTGGGCATGAAGCTACCCAGCCCCTCCCACACCCCGACGCAGCTCACCTTTGAAAAAGACAAAACGACCGTCCTGGCGCTCATAGGCAGCACTGATGTCACCAGGCAGACCACGCCAGAAGTGGCCGATGGGCATAGGATAGTTGTCCAGGACACGGTTGTGCCGGACTCGCCAGAACCAGCGGCCCTAAGCGGGGGGGTGTGGGTGTTGGTGTGCAGCAGATGCAAGCTGCCTTGGCTGAGGGAGGCTTGGAACTCAAAATGCCCCTTCCCAGGTCAGGGAGGGGCAGGGGGAGGTCACTGAGTGTCACCAAGTATGCATTGCAGGGAGAGCCAGGGCAGCCCTAGGGAGACAGCGCTGGGCCTGGCAGTGAGCACCTGGGCTTGCTGTGACCCTATCATCTTCTTGAGGGTAGTTTGTTCTCCTCTAGGGTCTGTGGTCAGCAGGGAGGTAGAGGTGCCTGTGGGGGCTGGGGGGCACCAGGAGGGTGGGACCAGACCTTGAACACGAACATCTCTCCTCGAAGCACAGCCACTGTGTCAAAGTTGCCGTCACAGATGTTGGGGCCATACTGGTCAGGCCGCTCTGTGGTTCGGGGCTGGGCTGGAGGGCCTGGTTTTGGGGGTCTCTCCGGCTTCCCACCTGGTGGTGGTGGCTGGGGGGGCCGAGGGGGCCGGTGATCTGGCCGGCCTGGCCGCCGGGGTGTCATGGTGGGGAGAGGCCGTGTGGGCTGTGGCTGACCATCCGGGGTACCTAGAGAGAGAGAGAGACAGGGAACAAGAGTGAGAAAGCAGCAGCCTCAGAACGCAGCCTGGATGCCAGATTCTGCTGCTCAGAATCCAGGGACCCCAAGTCCCCAGCAGCAGAGCCACCCGAGTGGAAGGCCCTGTCTGTCACAGCAGACTCCTCTCCTCCACCTGCCATCACCCTCTGGGACGAAGCAGCAGCACCCAGGGGGTCAGGGCCCATGGCGGGCCCAAGCTAGGCGTGGGGTAGAGATGGATGGATTCTGGGACTCCAGGGCACCCTTGGTCTAGTAGAAATATTGCTGAGGCTGAGGAGGTAAGGAGGGCCACTTGTGTATCCCCACAGCCCCACAATGTGGGCTTGAGGGCCAGGCCTGGGTTTGATCTCCAATACATCACTTACCAAGTAACGTGGGCAAATCACTGATTCCTACCGGGTCTGTTTCCTCAGCTAGAGTGGTTTAGCAGCAGTGCCTGTGTGTCGCATGGCTGGGAGCTGGGAGCAGGCAGGCAAGGCCCACCAGGGGCAGCCACTCACCATAGAGCTGCTGGATGCCCCGGAGGTCGTCCTCAGGCAGCTGGAAGTTGTCGATGTCCATCCACTGGTAGAAGGGTGCCATGATGGCGCTGGGGTTGCTGGAGTGCTCCAGCCCCAGCGCGTGGCCCAGTTCATGCACTGCCACCAGGAAAAGGCTGTTCCCTGTGGTAAGAGCATGGTCACTCTGACCCATCCCAGGGCCCGGTCACCTGGGCCTTCTGGGCTGAGGCTGCCACAGAGCCTGCCCTTTCTTCTCTCTTGGATGAGGCTGAGCTACTCTGATTTCTGCTCTCTAGCTTTCCCATTTGAGAAATGGGCACAATCAACCCTTCCTTTCTACCTCCCCATTGGATACGGTGGGACAGCAGACCAAGATTTAATGCAGGCCTCTGAGACCTGGATAGAGAAAGCTCTTCCTTTCCCACCCTGCAGCAGCTGAACCCACTCAGAGGGCCCATGGGCAGCTCTGGCACTGCCTTCACCCAGGCCAGTTTCCTCACCATGCAGGTCAGTGCTGGAGAAGGTCCAGGGCTCATCTGCGTCAAAATGGGTATCACCACCCAGGCCAGGGCCAGGGAAGTAGGCATGTGCCAGAAAGCCACCCGTGCCATCAAATGGTGAGCTGTCACCATGGAAGCCAGAGGCAAAGAGAACCATGATGTCCGCCTCCTTCTGCCGGCGCAGCCTGATGTCGTCATATGGAACCTCCTGGAAGACCAGGGGCGTGGCCTGCTCCCACACACGGAAGGCCCTGCGCACTGCCTCCATGGAGTGGTACCAGCCCAGCTTCTCTGTGTAGTTCTGGATGCTGCAATAGGCAGGGCGACATGTGAGGGGACGCGGGGCCTGAGGGCTAGTCGTCCTCAAGGAACACACCTAAGGCTGTCATTATCAACTGTTAGTTTACTGCGATGTGAATTAGAATTTATCAAACCCTGGTAGTTTATTAAAATATCACTACGCCGGTTTGCATTAGGGCAGACAAACTGATTTTAGCAAGAAGGTAAGTAAATAGAAGTACAGGTGCTTTGTGCCTAGACCTAGGGAATGGGATCAGACAGCTGAGGCTGAGAAACCCAGGCCAAGCCGTTGTGAATGTTGACCCCAGGGCCAGGCACACCCCACTTGTAGACCTGGCTGTCACTTTATCTGTGTGACCTCTGGCAAAGGGCTACATCTCTAAATTTCAGTTTCTTCATTTTTAAAATGGGAAATAGGAGCCATATTTTCTTCCTGGGGTCCCCGTGAGGATGAAATGAAAGAACTCCCGAATACAGCACAGAGCCTGCACATGGTACAGTGTGAGAAGGCTCACTCCTAATTAAGCTTCTGATTATGCTTCTGCATGCTTAACAGACATCCATAAAATGGTAAAGGGTAATTCTGGCTGACTGGGCTGCGAATTCATGCAAGGGGTCTGAGGTCTAAGAGAGCTGATTTTTCTTGGCCAGGAGATGAAGCCATGACTGGACTGGACTGGAACAGGAAGGAAGCTCTTAGGAGCCACCACATGGCTCAGGGGCTTTTGCTCAAGGACTCAGCAGAAAGCAGGGGAGTACCCGAGCCAGGGTTCTTGTAGGTGCCTTGCTGCCTGCCCAGGGGATAGATGCCTGGATCCCTACACCCCAGCCTTCCTCCCAGCCTCCCGGAGATATACTTGCAGGAGCCCCTGGAGCCAGTGCAGCCTTCCCAGATTGCTGGCTTGTGGGAGGCAGGGAAAGATGGAGCCGAAGCAGCTCGAGGGTCCCAACCTTCTCTAGAGGGACTCGAGTGCGTGGCTGGTCTCAACAGCATAGGAGCGGCTGGACTGGCCAGGCCAGGCCCCCTGGAGTGGGCTGCTGGGACCGGAAGCCCGAGTGAGGCTCAGCCCACTGAGAGGGGCAGGGCCACTGGCTGGACAGCTGGGTCCCTACCTGAACGTCAGGTGGTGGTTGTTCCACTTCCTCCCAGTTAGGGCGTAACGTTTCCGCCGCCGCCGCAGATTCGCTTTCACGCGCACCCCAAACTGGTCTGGCACCCCACAGCGAGGCCGTTTCATCCACCTGTGCCATAGGTGTGGAGGGGTGAGCCTGGAGCCTCCCCTCAACACACCTGCCTGCTTTGGCTCTGCCTCTCCCATGTAGTGCATTTCCTTCCAGCCTCCGCCTTCCTCCTAGCTGCCCCTGCTATGGATGTGATAGGGTTGGGAAGATTCAACTTCCATTTCCAGTAAAACAGGCAAAGTGTTCTTGTGTTGTAAGACTGTGTGCTCAGCACTGGCCCAGTAAAGATGAGCCCCTTCTCATAGTCACCCAAGGACAGGAGGGTTCCCTTTGAGGCCTCCTATTCTTGCTCTGTTATGTTCTGTGCTTCTTTAAAAATGTGACTTTAGGTCTGCTTCCCTCTGCGAGATTGAGAATAAGGCCTAGCAAGGATGCTCCATCCAGGGCTTGTGTACTGGCCTCCCCATACCCATACAGTCTTGGATCCAGCCTCAACGCAAGGCTTGAGGCAACCACTGCACCCAGTTCCAATTGGCACAGAGAAACAAACCATCTGTTATTTGTTACCCAGGCCACTCTTTTCTGGAAACTCTGTAAGTCAAGCCCTCCTTAGAACAGGAAAGAGGAAAGAGAGGTGCTCGTGGGGGGCCGGGAGGGGCTGGGAGGAGGGACTCACGCCTTGGTCTCTTCATCGAGTACACCCGTGACAGGGATCCCATAGAAGCGCTGCATCTCCGCCAGGGCTGAGGCCAGGATCTGGGCAGAGCGCATGGTCGACATGTGGCGATTGGGCTGGGGCAGGTAGCCATAGAGCCGCAGCCAGTTCTGCAAAGAAGCCCCAGTGGCGTCAGCCGGCCCGGCACTGCCACCTCCAGACATGCACAGCCTGCTCCCAACACCTCTCACCACCTCACCGCCACTGCCTGAGTGGCATCGCCCCTGGCTGGGTGACCTGTGAGCCTCTGGATGGACCTCCCTGCTTCCACCTTCCTTGTCTAGCCTCACCCAAAAGGAGAGCAAAAGGCAGAGCAAGTCAGGGCAGTCAGTTCTCTGCTTGGAACCCTCAAAGGCTTCCCATCCCAGAGGAAAAGCCAAGTCTTACAGGACCTACCAGACCCTCACTCAGAACCCCACCTTAACTCTCTGACCTCACTTGTACTCGTATCATCCACCCCAGCTGGGCGTCCACTCTGCCTCCAGGCCTTTGCATATGCTGTTCCTGCTATCTGGAGCACTCCTCCCCAACTCCAGGCTTAGACCCTCAGTTCTTTAAGGTTTCTGTTTCAATATCACCTTGTGGGAGAGGTGTTCTCCAGTAACAGAGAAATGGCCCTGCTGCCTGCTCGCTATACACTGACCCCTCTCCCCCTCCTAGCACCTGGCACCCTCTGACACACTATCTGCTTTACTAGGTGATTTTGTTCATGTTCCCCCAATAGGACAAAGCTGCGTACAGAAGGACAGACAGCAATAGCTTTCCTCCAGGGTGGGCCCCTGTCGCTCGAAACAGACTACTGAGGACCCTCAAGGGTTCAAAATCTCTCAGGACCTCACTGAGTGGGAAAACCCAACCCAGTTGTTGCTCCCCAGTAGGCCCTGAGTCTTCCAGAAGGAAAGCAGACAGACTCGGCAGCCCACCTAGACCTGAGGGGGTAGGACACGGGCCTGAAGCCAAGTCCTTGCTCTCCCACAAACTATCACCTCTGGGCCTCGGCTTCCTCATCTGCAAAATGGGAGGGTAATGGGGTTGTCGGGATGGTATTTGAGGAAGACAGCCCTGGGGAAAGCATCTGGGTGTCCCACAGATGGCTAGGCAAATCTCACCTATCGCCATCCATCCATCCATCCATCCCTTATCCTGCCAGAGGTTTCTGAGCACTCTCTCTGTCCAGCTGTGCCAGCTGGGGGCTGTGAGGGACATGCGGAAGTATCCTGCCTTCCAGGGCTTACAGTCACCCTGGGAGACGCAGGCCACCTGCAGAGGACTTCATACCTTGCAAGTCCATGAGCACACAAGACACTTGCAGTCATGGTGGGAGGGAGCAAGCCCCTGAGCCAGGCGGAGCAGTGGTGAGAAAGGCCACTCCACCCAGCCCGCCTGGTGCCCTCAGGGCCACAGAAGCATGGCAACCACTGCGGGAGGGGGAACGAGGCCAGGGGCTGCTTGTCACATGCAAGCGTGTCCTTCCCACCTTTCCCGGTCTGCCCGGAAGGACTGCTCTGAGTGGCTCTGGAAGGTGAGGACTGCACATGGAGGGCCCTGAGGCAGGACAGGAGCTGACGCAGTGGCTGCTTCAGACTGACAGCCACGTGTCTGGTGGCCAGGGCCACAGCTACACATCTGCCTAGCACCACTGTCACGTCCAACGCCTCAGGTGCTGGAGTCCTCAGTGCCATCCACCAGCCCCACCCAGCTCAGCAGCACCCTGGCTGCCATCGGCAGAGAGGCTGCTGAGCCCAGAGGGCAGTGCAGAGTAGCTGCCAGAGTCACAGTCTGGGTGCGCAGGCACTGCTGTGTGGCCTGCAGACCCAGGGAAGAGGCACAGAGCAAGGAGGCAGAGGCACGGAGCTGGGAAACAGCAGGCAGCTCTGACACACAGTACTGCGCAAAGCCTGGCTTGGTGATCTCAGAGGCATGAGTCCATGCGCCCTGGGCCTCACCTGTCACTGGTAAAAGAGGGTTTAATTTAGGGCCTCGGCTACGGCCAAACCCCCCTGAACGTGCCCGATCTCGCCTGATTTAGGGCCTCATCTCCTGGGCTCTGCAAAGATTAAATGGGATAGTGTTCCATGAATGCATCAGTGATGGAGACCAGGGGGCCTGTCTGGCTGTCCCTGAGGCTGGCAGCCTTTTGCCTCTACCAACAAGGCTGAAAGGTCCCAGCTTCACGCAACTGGCAACTGGCCAGGCACAGCTGGGGGAGGCAGGAATAGCCCGTGGCCCTTCCACCAAAACTCACTCACCACTTCCCTCAGCTCTGTCAGACACTGGCCACGTCATGGCACAGGGCCTATTCTTCCCAAGCTTCTGAGATGGTGGGGGGGGCAGTGGGTCCATTCCTCCCCTGTAATGGACAGGGTGTTCCTAAAGGTACACGGAGCAGTCAGAGAGCAAGGCCGTGGTGCGGGGCCAGCTCTAACAGCCACAGGCATTCAGCTGGAGGCAGGGGCAGAGTGGGGGCTGGCCGCTGACAGACGAGGGCACCTCTACATCACCTATTTGCATAAGGTAAAAATATCTCTGGGAGCACAATCACAGGCCACTGAGGGGCTGATTAGCAGTGTCTGCAGAGCGACAGGAGGAGGGGCAGGCAGGGCACAGGAGGCTCAGGCAGGGCCCTGGGGAGAGAAGGAGAGGGGAGGGGAGCAGAGGGGAGGAAAGCTGAGCTAGCTCGTCTGCAGCTAAGAGCTCCAGAGAACAGCAGAGGGGATGGGCAGAGGCGCTCTTCAATCCCAGGGCCAGCTCGGGGGCTTCCAGAAGGACCCACAGGGGCCTGTGGTTGCTCCTTCACAGAAGGCACCGAGTCTCCAGAAAGCCACCAGCTTCTCGCTCTCAGCCTAACCTCCACCCTTCGGCAGCCACTGCTGGCATGAAAAGCCAGAGGTGGAGAGCCAGTGACACCCCTGGGCAGCAGGGGGAGGTAACCGGAACCGCGGCCTTGGCAGAGCAGCTGAGCCTCTGGATGACAAGGTGAAGCTGACGGCCTGCCTGGCTCTGGCAGACACGTGCTCGGGATGGCTGGACGCCAAGCGCCAGTAAATCTACCAGGGCGGCAGCAGACACCACCCACAGGGCTGAGGACCTTTTCCTCTCCCAGTGTCCAGGGGGCAGTTTCCTGCCACACGGCCACTGCGCTAAGGGTGACAAGCTCCAGTGGGGAGGACAAGTCAGTAGGAAGACAGCTGGGGGAGGGGACCGCACAGGTGCTGTTGCCTCCAGGTGAGGGCAGCTTCAGCCAGAGCCCCAGCTCACCAGGGGCTCTGCTGCACCCTACAGAAAGGCGGGAACGATTCCCAAGGCTGTGAACTTCTGGTCTCAGAGCAGGCAGGGCTGTGTTCAAGTCCCTGTGAAAACTGTCGCTTGTACTAGGTACCTCCTTTTCTGGTCACCCAGAATCTCAAGGAGGAGTGAGCCAAGCAGATCAAGCCTTGTTCCTCAGGTGAGGAAACAAGGGTCAGAACATGCGGTCCTGTAAGGCAGAATCGAGGAAGGATCTGAACTAGGGCTTGGCTTCCCCTCCACGAGGGCGCCAGTGGCTGTGCAGAGGGCTGTGGTGCCCAGAGGACCCCTCCCTGTTGCAGCTCAGGGTGGGGGCTGGTACAGGAGACCCAACACTGTGGTTCTCTCAGCCATTGCTTTCTCAAGCTCCACACGGCATCCAGTATCTATTACCGCTGCAGGTGAGTGGCTGGGCCAGGCAAGAAGACAGGGGCATCCAGAGTCAGAAACGGGATTCCTGCCCGCAATGAGAGGCCATAAATGCAGCATCTGAGAACCTGGCATAGGCCAAGCTGTCCATTCTCTTCACCCCATCTAATGCTCACAACTACCCTGAAAGGTAAATATGTCACCACTCCTGTTCTTACAGACAGCAAGGTTCAGAGAGGGCGAGTTACTCCACCAGAGTCACATAGCTGATCTAGGCTAGAACTGGACTCATCAGCACTGCTATTAGACCCCAGGCTGTTGCTCAAGTGCCACCTGCTTCCCTTGGTTTGAGGTGGGGACACTGGGCTCTGGCCCTTCTCAGGAACAGTGCCCAGCCCAGCACTGGGGGAGGGCATCTAGTCCTCCCCCTCCAACATCCCTGGCTGGCGCTGGGCACTGAGCCACGACTGCCCTCCCCCAGGACTACTGAGACAGTATGGAGGCAGGCCTGCAGGGAAGGCTCGTCTGAGAAAGAGCTGCCAGATCAATACTGTCCAGTAAGCAGTCATAGGCGATGGGGGCAGGGGCCAGAGCCCATTCCTGCCTCAGCCAGCTCTTCCAGGGCTCTAATTAGTAGAGTTGGCCTGCGCACAGGCAGCCCGTTCCACACAGCCCTTATCAGACCTGGGTGATAAGGAGGCTCTGCTTTGCCTCTCACCCAATTCTCTTCAATCTGAGCAGGTCTGGGCAGGTTTGCCCAGCCAGGGACAAAAGGAGTCTTGTCAGGGCCACCAGCAGTGAAGTCAGCCGCCAGATCTTTCATGGTCCTGTGAGGTCCTCACTGTGCCCGAACCCCGACCCCATACTCCTGCCACTGAGGGCTCTTGGAATTAGGCCAGGGCTCCCTGGCTGGCTCTGCACACCTAGCTGAGCTCGGCACTGTGCAGGTGCTCAATGGAATGAGTCCAGGGGCAGCCAGAAACCCTGAAAGAAGCAGGACATTCACTTTAAGCCCATGGAGCCCGCCCCATCCAGGCGTCACTCAACAGCTGAGTGACCACGAGCAGGTGCCAGATATATCCAGTCTGAAGGGGCCACAATGCCATCAAGCTCCACTACCTGGCTTAGACCTCCACAGACCACAGCCAGACTCATCCAGCCTGCACTGGCAGAGATGGACCCCTCCCTGCTGCCCACAAACCCACTCCAGCGGGAGGCAGCAGTGACTCTTTGCAAGCTCTTCCTCATGCTGATTGGAAATCAGCCTCCTAGTGACACCTCTGCCCCTGGTCCTGACTGCTGTCCATGTAACAGGCTTTTGAATAACTGAAATGGCTAAGACAACTTCTCTGACCCTTACTTCTCTCTTCTGCAAAGTGGGATCAAAGCAGGATAGGGTTAAGGGCACAAATGAATCCAGTCTCAAGGCCAGTAAGGAAAGAGGACTGACCAGGCCTCCTGGTGGCTTGCTTGATATCTTTAGGGTTGGCATGGCCCACGTTTAAGCAGTTCTAGGACTTCTGTCTTTATGTGGGGCTTAAATCTGCTTGCCTTACAGAGATCTACAGGTGGGGGCTAGGACTCTGATCACTGGGAAAGTCCAGCGTAAGGAGGTAACTGCCTGCGCTAAAGCCAGCCTAGGGACTCTGATGACAGTCAGGGACGCAGGAAGGAAGCACATGTTCCTACTTCTTGTCACTTCTTTACCCCAGAGGCACCCAGCCCACCCCCACTCCTCTTAATCTGGAGGAAGAAACAAATGGGTCCTTTGGCCAGTAGGTAGGCAGGTGTGGAGTGAAAAGAGGCCTCTGTTTGCCAAGTTTCAGGCTGGAGGGGGCCAAGCCTGTGGCGTCACCCAGAACTCTCCCTGCAGGCGACTCTGAGAAGAGGCTACCCACAGGGCAGGGCCTGGGTGTCTGGTGGGTGGTGGCTCCCAGCTCATGCAGCTCAGGGAAGTTCCGGCTCCACCCCGAAACCTTCTTCCTACCTGGCTAAGGCCCAGCAAAGTTCCTGCCTGGCAGAAGCTCCACAGGAGCTCACAGGATGGCACCCTGGCTTCTGACCTGTGGCTTGGGGTTGGGGACTCCAGCTACAGTGGGGTAATATAGCACCCACACTAAGAGTTAAACAGAGAATAAAATGTACCAACGTTTACAGAACACCCCTACGCTGTGCCCAAGACAGAATTAGTATGTAGAAGATGCTCAAAAATAACACCGGAACCTCTCTGGGCCCCATCTGCAGCCGCTGCACACAGCTGGTTAGTATTTTATACATAAACACAACAAATCTCCCCAGTAACTCCATCACATAGGTTCTATTTCATTTATCACTTTATAGACAAGTAGACTGAGCTCAGACAGGTTCAGTGATCTGTCCAGCAGCAAATGCCCACTGCTTCTCACAGTTACTAGTTTTGCCATTATTTTGCAAGCACTTCTTTCCTATGTAACAGGTGCCATGCTTGTAAGCGCCACACGTGGAGCTGGGGGCCCTCATTCCTCCAAGGTGGCAGTCACTCCTGAGGACAGCAAAAGGTGGACCCAGAACAATAGGTCAGCCCTGCAGAGCTGACCCAGACCTCAGCCCCAGGCTTCATATTTAATGGGGCAACTATCAGACGGCAGTAGGATGGGACACATCTCCAAGGGCGGGCTGGTGGCTGGTACCCAGGTCATCATCCATCTATCCTGACACCAGATGTCAGGGTGGGTCTTCTTGCTTATTTCTTCCTCTTCCCTCCAGGAGGATGGGGGTCTCATAAAAGGTGTCCCTCTTTGTCCCCAACCCAGGCCCAGTTCACATAGCTCTGCCACTCTTGCCTAGGGCTGTAAAATCAGTGTCACTTCCAACAAAGGGCCCAGCCACCAGGATCTCCAGGGATCCTGGAACACATGTCCTTCTGGGGAGCAGTCCCACTGAATCCCTAATTCTCTGGAACCTACTGTGTGTCTTAGGCCTGGAATGTTCTTCTACCCTCAGGGTCCCAGGTCCTCATGTTTACCTGTGGGTTTGCCCAGGGCCACTCTCAGCCCTCTCAGCTTCTGCTGACTCTCCATGCTCCAAACAGAGTAGCTATGGGGTTTTCGCCCAGACTGAGCATCTTACAATGCCAGCCATGTAAGTCTCAGACAATACTGAGGATGTCAGCTTTCAGCTAGGAAAGTGATGCCACCACAATGACCACCACAGCTCGCCTCTGGCAGAAGTCAAATTCTACACTGGGCAGAGATGACAATGGCGGAGAATATCTGGATCAAGCAACAGAAGGGGAATGGAGGGTAGCCAGAACCAAGTGGTTGGTGGGGGCGGGGAGTTTTCCAGGCCCACAGTGTTGCCATTCTGGGCTTGTAATGGTGATCTGGGTGGTGGGTGCTGGGTTTTTAGAGGAACTCTTCTTGGGGAGTTATGGGTATGTTTCTATGCTTTCCTGTCCCCACATTCAGGGATGTCTTTTAAAAGTCTCCATCTTCTGTGGGGAGGGGCAAAAGAAATTTGCCCTGTCACCATGGGCTGGTCAGAACCATATGGTACTCCTTACAAGGAGATGACTGACGGCAGGGCCTGGGGCAACCCAAACACAGGCCATGGCAAGGGCTGGGGTGAAAGGCATGGCCCCATCCCAGTCTTCAGCCTGAGTCTTCAACTACAGTAGGGGGAGAGACGTGTCAGCAGCAAGAGGAGAACATTCAGCTTTTGCAGGTTCCCAGAAACAGGGCCCTAAAAAGAATCCCTTTTGTCTTAAGGGCCGGCAGGGAGCACCTGCAATTTCTGCTCCACCAGGGGCAGCCCCAGGGACCAGCAATGAAACGTGATGGATGCACAGAGAGCCTATGGCTCACATCTCAGGCCTGTGGGTCTAAGCGAGAACTCAAGCTGACACCGCCTAGCCTTTTGCTCACCCTATGGGCAGGTAGGGGCAGGAAGATACTCTTGGGTTTGTTCAGGGAAGGTGGTTGTGTCTGTTTGGTAGTGGTGGCACCATAATTGTGAACTCTGGCAGCCTGAGTCATTGCCTCTGGGTGGGATGAGTGCATTTGTGACTGGTGGCAGGGGGACAGATAGCTTCTCTAGTGAAAACTAAAGAAACTGAAGTTGGCCAACAACTCTGGCCAGAAAGGGAAGACCTGACTCCAAACCTGGACCTAGCTTATACATTGGAGTCTCTGCCCATTTAGCCAGAGCTATAACTGGCACCTCAGCCAGGTGGGTATATGATACACAATGGCTAGAGACTGGGACCTGACTGACATAAAGCACAGCAGTGAGGTAGAGTAGAGCAGCTACTATAGTAGCTTCCCCAAGGGAGACATTCTTCTCTGGGCTGGGGCCTGGCAGGTTACTGGTGTCTCTCAGGTTCTGGCCAGCCTTCTTGATTCCTCAGCCTGGTGAAGCTCCTACAGCCTCCACACTGGGAGCATGGAAGGAAGAGGAGAGGGTTGGCCTTAGCTTAGCTGCCAGGGTGCTCAGAGGTCTCAGCCACAAGCAGACCAGAGGTCTGAACCTGTGGACATTTTGGGGGGAAGACCAGAGCCCTCTTCCAAGGCAGGAGGCTCTGGACAAGGTATAAAGTAGGTCCAGGAGTCTCTGAGCAGATCGGCTGCCTGTAGGGGCCACTGGACTCTGGACCCTGATCTGGCCAGACCTGATGGGATTGCAGAGGCAGCCTGTACCCCAAAGCCAACTAGAGAAGCTAGGTCAGCCCACCTATTTCTAGCCTTCTAGCCGCAGTGTCCTCTAACATTCAAGGCTCCTTAAGCCTCCCAAGTTGACTCCCAGGAGAGAGGCTTTGGGCCAGTCAGAATCTGTAGCCAGTGCCACTAAAGGCTTAAGGTCACAGTTTATGGCCTCACTGCAGGCCGGGCTGTCTTCCCTGGTGGTGCTGGCTCAGCCAGGAGGACATGGGGTGGGGGTGGGGGGTGTGTAACTGACTTGTAGAAACCAAGGGAGTATGAAGGACTTCAAATTACAGGTCCAGCATCCTCAGTCCCTGGCTACGATGGATGCCTGTTCACAAAGCACCAAATCCAAACTTCAGCTTGGTCTGTAATCACTAGGGAATGGAAATGCCATCCCTAAGTAGATTATGAACCTCTTAAGGGTTAATCTGTGACTTTAAACTGTTTGGTCCTCCAATGGCAGGTGGGCTCCACAGCTTCTTTACCACCAGCAGGTGCCCCGAATAACTCTCAGCCTGCTGCCTGTGTGAAGGCTGCTGTGGGAGGGCTAGGGACAGTGGCACGGAGACTGGGCAAGAGCTCAGCTCCCAAACACAAGGCCAGGCTCCCGGCAGCTTTCCCTGGCCTGGCCACGGAGGGTGGGCAGAGCAGGTAGGAAACTGGCTGGAGGTGTAACTTGAGCCTGGGAGGAATTCCCAGCCCTTCCTCCAAGCTTTTATAAAAGTAGGGAGGGGAAGGAACAGGCTTCCAGCGGAAAAATCTCCCAGGCAAACGCGGGAGGTGGGGAAGCCTCGGAGGGCTGGGAGGGAGCACCGGCCAGGGCTGCAAATAGCAACAGCGCTCAGGCGCTTGCTGGGCCTGCAGCCCGGGCAGCCCAAGGGCACCGAGGCGGGAGCCTGCCTGGTCCGGCGCAGAGGAAGCTCCAGAGTGCTTCTCTCTTCCCTACTCCTCGACAATCTGCACATCTCCTATGGGACAGGTGGCAACGACTAAGTCGGAGAAGAACTATCCCTGTTTCTGCTCTGGGGCAACGGAATGGCCCTGGGGGATCCCCTGCAGCCACAGGTTCTGGGCTAGCCGAGAGGCCGTGCTTGGCCACCTGCAAGACCAATCCAGAGAAAAGAGGCGCGAAGTCTACCCCCTCCCACCCAGGCCTCAGTAGTGTCGGAGGAGAGAGATTTCTCTCCCTGGGAGCTTAAGTGGACGTGGAGAAGCCTCCGAGCAAAAGCGCAAGAAAAGTCGCCAAAGCGCCGCCGCAACCTGAGTCCGCTGCCCCGGCGATTCGCACCCCTCCCCCCACCCTGGCTGGCCGAGCGACGCACGGTGTCACCCAGGCCACAAGCTACCTCAGCAGGAGCGCTGCCCACTTCCTTCTCTGCCCGAGTCCCCACCTCCAACAGCCCCCTCCCCACTCGCAGAGCGCCACGGCGCGCCAGTCCGGCTCTCGAGGAATCAGCTGCCTGCGAGGGAAGGAAAGAGCGGAGGAAGGGCAGGGGGCGGCGGAAGAGGCGCCTGGAACTCGGACTGGGAGGGTCAGTGCTCAAAGCAGGAGCCCGGGTGGGGGCGGGGGCGACCCCTATGCCCTCCAGCGCTTTCGAAGAGGTGCGCCGCAGCGGGCGAGCCAGGGAGGGGCGGGTCCCGATCCCTCCTCCCCCGCCAAACCTGAGCCGGACGAGGGCTCTTCCGCGCTCCCCCACCTCCAGGACCCCGACTGCGGGCGTAGCTCCCCTCTCCCTTATTTCCCAGCCAAGGGGCTGGTAGGGGTCCTAACCTCGGCATGGACTTCTGCGTCCTCCGCCGCTGCGCCACGGCCCATGTAGCCCAGAAGCACCAGTAGCAGCAGCAGTCCGGGCCGCGCCGCCGCCTCCCGGCCGCCGAGGAGGCTGCCCGGCCGTCCTGGTGCGCTCCGGTCACTGCCCATGCCTTCGCCTCCCGGTCTGGTCCTGATCGCTGCACACTGGGCTCGCTCGCTGGCTGGCACCCGGTCCCCGAGTGCGGCTCGGAAACTTGCGTCGCTCCCTGGATCCCCGCCCGGCGGGCGCACGGCGGACCTTCGGCTTCGGGTCCCAGCCAGAGCCGCTAAGGTCCCCTCGGCAAATTCCCAAGGCCGAGGGGAAGCGGGCAGGGCAGGTCCGGGTGCGCGGTGCGGGCCGGTGGAGAGGGGCCGGGCGGAGCTCCCTGCCTCCGAGTCCCGCAGCCTCGGCGCCCACCGCCCGGGCCGGGCTCCCGGGAGCAAGCGCGACTCGGGAGCCTTTGTCTGGCTCAGCGCTCCGGCCGCCCGGTCCCGCGGCGCCCCCTGCGCGCCCAGCTCCCTCTGTCCATGCCCAGGGCCGGGCGCTGCCCAGAGCGCGCGCCTCCCGCCCAAGGACTCCGCTGGCCGCGGCGCCCAGTCGGGCCCGGGTCCTCCAGGCAGTCCCGGGAAGAGCGCAGGGAACCCGACCGAGCGAGCGAGCGAGCCAGGGAGTCGGCGCCCGACGTCCCCGGCGAGTTCCGCGCGGCTCCCGGCGCTTCCAGCCCTCCTCCTCCTCGCGCGTGTGCCGCGCGCTCTTAAAGGGCCAGTGCGCTCCCAGCACGCGGACCCAGGCAGAGGCGGGCGGTGCTACCCTAACAGGGTTCCTAGTAGCAGGTGCCTGCTATCCAGCCCCCGCGGTGGCTGGCCATTACACTCTCCCTGGAGGGCGGCAACCTACTCTCGCCTTCCTCATGTCATTTGCCTCACTGCTTCTTGGGAGTGGGGGCGACCCCCAACTTAATCCCCTGGGAAGGGAAGGCGCAAAGGAAGGCGTGGTCTCCCTGTCAGGGAAGAAAGAAAAGATCTCTTTTTCCTACCAGGTGGGTGTGAACGGGGAATACTGAGGCAGAGATGGGCAAGGAGGGCTAGGGCTGGGGGAGGGACCCAAGTTTTGAGCTATTAAAAACAAAGCAAAGCAAAACAAAGCCAACAAAACACAACAAAAAACAAAACCAAACCCTCTGGAAGTTTGTTGGCCCGGGTTGGTCTCCAAAAGCCCCAGGTGTGGCCTTTGGATAGCAAAGTGAGCCTGGGCGCTGGGAGTACGCAGGGCGACTGACAGAACATAGGGTCGGAGGGGCAGTTTCACCCCGCGTTCCCAGGTACCTGCTGCTTGGCCGTGGACAAATTAATTTTTTTGAGCCTCCTTTATCTGGAACGTGGGGCAAAGAGTTGGGATTCTGGCTCCAGGTCTGCACACTTGAGGTTCCTAAGCAGAAGTCAACCATCACTTGATGACTATTATGTGCAAATGGAGTGTGGCAGCTTGGCCCCAGCAAAGAGCTAGGTTGACGGGCAAATGTTCCTTTGGAGCTCGATGTGCTAGATTTAATTCTATTCCGGGAGCTTTGAGATCCGGGCCTTGTGGGTGCCGGAAGCCAGAGGTAGGAGGCCTGAGTGGAGGGTCGCTGAGGCTGCGCCCAGACAGAGGTCAGCCCTGGAGCTGTGAACTGGTTGTCAGAGGACTGGCAGGCAGGGTAGGGAGGTGAGGGACAGAGATCTCACCTCCTCTCTGCAGACCAAAATAACGGGGGTTTTCCTTACCTAAGGTTGATTTATCCTAGAGTAGGTCCCAGCTGGCCTCACCTTCCGGAAACCAGAGGCCTGGCAGAGACATGGAAATGGCCTGTTTGAATCGATCTGTTAGGTGAAGAAAAAACGCCACGTGGAGATTACCAGGTGCCCAGCAGAGCTTGCTGGGGGAAAGGAAGTTGGAGTTTGCAGAAGAGGTCAAAGAATGTCATGCATTTCCTTCATGCATTAACTTCTCTGGGGTCCCTCTTTGGGGAAATGGGTCTCTAAATTCTGTCCTTTGAAATTACTTTTGGGAAGCGTAGTGGTCTTCAGAGATGGACACTACTAGTGTTGCCCTTGTGTAATGAAACACATTGCAATCTTTCATGATGTTTATTCCCAATTAGACAATTTAAAAAATTGTTCATGGGGCTACCAAGTAATAAAGGAGCCCAGTAACGTAAGCAGCATTCTTAAAAGTCTGTGATCAGACAAGCCTGACTGCTTTCTCTCTTTTGGAGGTCCCTCTCGAGGGGTCAGTCCTGCCTTAAGGAAATGGCTTCCCCTGTGACCCGGTCCCAGTGATTGATTGTGGCTTCTGTAAGGAACTTGCGGCTTCCAAGGTGGGTTTATACATCCAGACATCACAAGCTGACTACATTTCTAGCCAGCATCCGTAGTGTGAGGGGATCAGTGGGGCTGAGATGTGTGAACTCCAGCCCTTCTGCAACTAGCTTGGAACATTATTCATCTGGCTAGCAGCACTTCCTCTGTACCCTGACACCCTCTCCATGCACACCTTCTTTTCCTGGAGCCTTGAATCAAAGTTTACACATGGCATTTCATAGCACAGTATTATGTTGAGGCTGGTGTGGTACGAGGGGTTGTACAGCAAGCCCTGAATTAGATGTCAGGTCACTGGGCACCTGCTCATGCCCTAATTTCCTGCACGATCTGCAGCATATTATTCTCTGAGGGTTTGCTTCTTCGTTTGTAAAAGGAGGCGTCTGACCCAGCTAGTGGGTGAGGTCTCTTGTTCAGTAGCTATGGGCTAGAGCTGAGCCCAGCAGTCCCCTCCCTCAGCTACCTGGTTCCTGCCTTCAAAGGGGAGGCTGCAACCAAGAATAAATCCTCTAGCTTCACTTGCTTTTACTTACTTGCTTTTATCACCAATTCTAGAAGTCACAGAGCTAAGCAGTACACGCCCATTAGGTTTGCTATAGATAACACTTCTGACGCATGGGTCATGGCCACAAAGGCTAAACTTCCCAGCAATGTGGAGGTAGCACAAACCAGCCGAAACCAGCCGTGCTTCCTGTTTGGCCTTGCAGGTATCCAGTGGGTGGCACTCTGGCATCAGAGGGCCAAATGCTCTACCCTGCAAGCATCCTAGCAAGGGCCATGAAATGTGTGTGTGCAGACCACTGACCCTCAGATCACCTACTTCTCTGCTCCATATACCTTAACACTGTCCTTGAGGAAGCAGGTTTGAGACCTGGGACCCCTGTCCTCACGTTTGACTGCCTTGTGGATAAACTCTTGCAAAACTCAGTGTTTCAGAGGTTGGCACACTGCAAGGCAGGCCTGGCTGGGTAACCAGGCAGTCTCTAGGACTCCTGGGGCTGAGGCAAGAAATAAACAAACAAATGGAGGTAATTCCCCTCTCCTCTGGAAACAAAGCTGGGGTGGTCTGTAGCGGCCAAGGAGAGGGCCAGGTGTGCCCGGTGGACACAGGCCACTGCGGCTATGACATGATCATTTTCCCGCTCTTTGGGGAACATCTGAGGACACTGAGGGCAGAAGTGTTGGTTTTGTACTCTCCCTGGCGTGATAAAATTCCCGAGAAGGACATTTCTTTGTTGTGTGCCACACACCTAAGGGTGGACCCCAGCCTGCTGCAGTCTTCCTATCTCGGAGCTGTCTCCCGGTTCCTCAGGAGCACACTTCCTCTTACAGAAGAGCCCCAGCTGCTTCTGCACTGTCAGCGGGAGCGCCAGCTGACACGCTCTGGTCTGAGGCACACTCTGGTCCGAGGCACGCTTGATGTCTGGGTGCCAGCCAAGGCCCAGCCTGCTCCTCAGCGGAGCTCCTGCTTCCTTCCTCCACTGCCACCGTCCATTCTCCATGAAGCAGCCACTTATTGATCTTGGCCGTCTCTCCAAGTGGCTGCATTCTAATCCCATCCACAGCGCAGACAGAATCCCAAGCTGCCCCTCCCCCAACGGAACACCAGTCAGTCATCTGGGGAAGTGCAAAACTGGGCGTGGGTGGGGATTCCTTTCTTCGAACCTTACCTGCAGCTCCCCTCTGTGAGCACCCAGACCTCAACCATTTATCCAGGTGCCCAGTTCAAAGCCTGTCACCAAGCAGGTGTCAGTCACATGGGCTACATAGCCAGTCGCCACATTGCGTGCAAGCCAGAAAGTATGTCTGGCTTTCCCTTCCTCTCCAGTGACCTCAAGTGCCAAAAAAGCAAGTGACTAGTCCATTGCAGTCAGCAGATCAGTGTGGAGTGCTGGGGGAACAAGGCACGACGCGATTTCCCAGGTCAGGAAAAGGCATCGTTGAAGGGGCACAGCTGATGCCCCTCTCTGCGTCCCTCCCTTCAGCCTGAGGAGAGGTGGGGCACGGGTTCCGCACCTGGTGGTGCCAGAGCAAGAGTGCAGGTCAGGGGTGAGTCAGGCCACCACCCGGCTTCTCATGCCCCCAGGCAAGTCACTTAACCTGTTTTTCCATAAAACAGTAATCATTTTTGCTCTGCTTACTTTTCGGGGGTTGCCAGGAAGAACAGAGAAGGTCCCAGAAGGACTGAGTGTGACAGCAGGATAAAGTCTAAACGTCTGTGCTTACCCCGGTGAGCAGTGGGGCTGCCACCCCGCCGCATGCCGAGCCCTGGGCAGCCTGTGTGCAGACTCGAAACACAGGCAAAACCTCCCCCGCTGCTGAGGCATCCCAGTGCCTCCCCTGCCCATCTTAGCAGTCCTAGCAGAAACCCCCAAGAGGGCCCCACCCTCACGAAGCACAGTGAAGAGGGTGGAGGCAGAAGACAGTCATCTCTCACCTTGGTAAAGAGAAGCAATCCAAAACAATTTTTATTGGATGAACATATTTTAAAATTGTAACAAAAATATTTCTTCACCTATCACCAGAAATTCACATGACAACTACAGACGACTGGTTCTTCACTTTGATGAGCCAGGGCTTGATGAGAAAAATCCCGTGCACCCCTGGCCCTCCCTCGGTGGCCCTTCAGAGTGCCCAGGCTCCGGGCTCAGGGGGACGGCAGAACGCCCAGTGGGGGAAGGTTGCTCTCTGCCTCTTTGGGAAAGTTGATTGGGTAGCCAGAGGTCACAGAGCGTTGGAGGCCTGGCTTCCAGCCAGGCCAGGCCAAAATGAAACATCTGCTGGAGTCTCCCCAGGCACCTGGCTGGGGGCAAGGAGGAGGAGGGAATGGAGAAAACTGACGGGAACCACAAATTAGCACCTTGTATTCCTTGGCCCTGAAATGGCCTCTGCTGCCACAGGAGGAGGTGAGAGTCAAACTGAACAATAAAAGAGACGTGTCAAGGAGGATAGATCTGCTGCAGCACTCCTTCTCTCCTGACAGGGACGAGCCATGGTACGATTTTACAAGCCCTGGTATGAGGCGATGGCATCAGGATAGAAACTGCTGCAGAGGGAAGTCGGGGGAGATGGGTCGTTCTTAGAGGGACTACATGGGGATTCTGGCTGAGGTGGGCTCCTCACCCTCATTTTTTTTGCTTAACCTCAGAGTAAGAATTAAGAAGGCCAGGCTGCCCTCTACTGGTGACTTCCAGGAATTACCACAACACAGCAGCATCCAACCTGTAACCTAGGGCCTCGGCCTCCCAGAAGGAGGCTGGAGCAGCCGCATGGACTTTAGCAGACTCCTCCATCTCTACCACCATCTCCACCGCCATCTCCCCTGCAGATGAGCCTGGGACAAGGAAGCCTCCTGGTGCTCATTTCAAAGGCATGGAGAAGAACTTGTTCCCAGACTTGCAGCGGACCTGGTTGGCTTGCACACGCAACAGCATCTCAGAGTCTTCAAACTCATCCATGATTTCCTTCAGCCAGCAGCCAGGAGAGGACAGTCACATTAAGGGCAATCTGAGACACAGAGGGCACTACAAACAAAATCAGCCTCGCCGGCTCCTTCAGCGGCTGGACCATGCTGAGAGGGACACGAGCCACATGGGCTCCAGGCGCTGCATCAGCAAACTGGCCCACTCCCTTATGCAATCTTGTGAGGTCAGCCGTCACCCCCACTGACAGATGAGGACACAGAGGCTCAGAGCTCTGGGTTACAGAAATGGGTGGAACCAGGATTGTGACCTAGGTCTGCTGGAGCTGGGAATCAGGGTTCTTTTCTGCCTTCTGCACGATTATGTTAACAGTAAGGTCTCCATGGAGTACACATATTTTGTTTGGCTTGCAAAATGTTTTCTAAAAACACTTGCCAACACCTAAAGGTGGGAAACTGAACAGAAAAATCCAGATTTCTGGCTTCTCTTAAAAAACAAGTGCTAGCAGGGGCTGGGGATTTAGCTCAGCGGCAAAGCATCTGCCTGGCAAGCGCAAGGTCGTGAGTTCGGTTCCTGGTACCAGAGAAAAACCAAAAATAAAAAAAAATAAAATAAAAACAAGTGCTAGCAACACTAAGCCATATTCCTGTATGGTCTCACTCCTCACTGCCGCCCTGTCGGAGGAAGAGCAGCAGCTGTGAGTCACCAATGCACGTACACTCTCTCCTCTGAGGGCACCAAGTAGAAGGTGGACTATTCCAATTACTCATCAAAACACTCCAGGCTCTAAGGGTTGCATATTCCTCATACCCAGTACACTCTACTCATTTCCAGCACCTTCCAGGCCCAAGCCCCTGACCTCTGGGCAAGAGGCTAGAACTGCAGGGGAAGTCTGTGACCTCATTACAGATCACTGTTCTAGGGCAGTGCACAAGAACCCTTAGCAGGCTTGTGAGAATGCAATTCTGTTTGCCTTGATCTGGGGTGGGGCCAAAGTATACACTGCTATCCAGCCTCCAGAGGCTGCTGATCCTGACAACCCAGGGACCATACTTAGGGAGTATTGAGGTTGCGGAGAGGCTCCTGCCACATCACTGGTATCTTAGGGACTCAGCTATGGATATCTCATCTTCCCAGGGTCCCTGCCGTCATTTCTGGAGTTCAGTGCTCTCTGTGCCCTGAGAATTCACCTGTAGTTCCTGCACACACCGCCCTTCCAGCTGAAGACATGCGTCACCCACGCACCACGCCAGACTGATGTGGAATGAAGGGTCCTGGAAAGGAGAGGCAGGGAGGCAGGCTGTCACCTGGATGTCACTGCAGGCCCAGCCATCACTGTACCTCTGTGACAGCCCTACGGGATTCCTGTCCCTCCCTGTGAGACTAGACTCTCAGTGCTGATCCCAAGCAGCCTGCATAGACAGAAGAAATAGCCTGTGGTTGGTCCGTACTACAAACTGAATTGTGCCCCTGTCACCAAATTCATATACTGAAGCCCTAACCCCACTGCGATGGCATTTGGAGACACAGCCTCTGGGAGGTAACGAGGGTGAGAAGGCCATGAGCGCTTCAGGAGAGGGTGAGTGCCGCCAGGGGAGGAGACTGGAGCCTGTGCACTCTTTTTCTTCCCTACACCAGGTGAGCGCACAGTGAGAGCGCAGCTGTCCACCTGAGCCCTCATCAGAAACCAATCATGCTCGCACCCTGATCACGGACTGCTACCCCTTACTATGTGAGAAACGAATTTCTGTTGTGTAAGCTGCCCAGCCTAAATCTATCGTGGCAGCCTGAGCTAACGAAGACAGTCTGTGAGGCTTTCTTTTAAATTTCAAATTGGATCTGCGGACATGGAAGAGAACTCAGGCTCTGATTATTTTCTGATCTAGAACATCCCAGGAGATACCATATTTTTCAGACAGACAAAACCCAAAATGTCTAAAATTATGAAGGAATGATAATTATCTCCATTCAAAATTATACTTACCTACTCAGCATGGCTTTAAAAAATGTATCGAATAGAAGCAATAGTCCTTTAAACCCTTGACCCTCCCAGGCTGGACAGCACAGGGCAGGTGCAATATGGCATGGGAAGCTACTCTTCTTAGGGGGCCGTTTTTACTAAAAAAATATTGGGGACAACTACTACTTAGGAAATATAAAGCATACATGGACACATTATAGAGTAGAAGGCACAAGTCTTGAGCACATTTAAGGTATGGAAAGAAGTTTTAAAAATTATGAGCTGGGCATGGTGGTGCATGCTTGTAGTCCCAGCACTCAGGAGGCTGAGCCAGGAGGATCACATCAAGTTCGAGGCCAGCTACACAGTGAGTTCAAGAGCAGGCTGAACTACATAATGAAACCTTGTCTCAAAAAGAAAAGAAAGAAAAGAAAAGAAAAGAAAAGAAAAGAAAAAAGAAAAGAAAAGAAAAGAAAAGAGAAGAAAAGAAAAAAGAAAAACTGTGGACTTTGTATGGGCCATATCCAGCCATACCTCAAACCCTCATTTCCCAGGGGTGTGTCCTCTGTGAGCTGCCATGTGGGACAACCCACAAGGGAAAGTTCTGGATGGTTCTTTGGTTTGTCTCTGTTGAAGGCTTCTTTAGGGAAGAATCAATAGTTCTCTCCATTCATTATCTCCAGCCCTGTTCATTACCTGGTAGAAAGTGGTGAGGTCGAACTCCTCCATGACTCTGTCCACCTCTGAAACCAGGTCCAAGAACTGGGCATGCCCTGAGGTGACCTCAAGCCCAACGAAGGTCCTAGGGGAGAGGCAGAGGTGGAGACAACCTGGGCATGAGATGCAGCCTCTCCGAGCACAAACCATCCAAGCAGGAGCAGAGGATACACAAAGCCTGCAGGCCCGGGCCATGGCCTTACCCCACCTCCCTGGTGATTTCCCATGCTGCTCCATGAGCCAACTCTCTCTGTCCTCCCACTCCTGTTTTTAAACTTTCCTTTGCCTGTTCTCCCTCGGGCATCTCCTCCTCCCCGCATCTCGGAACCCTTCATGTACCGCGGTGAAGTCTCTGAGGCCAGGCATGCGCATGGTCTCCACTTTGGCTGCTGCTGCTCCTGACTCCCGTGCACCTTCGGAGCCTCTACTCTCTGCTGTCTGCCTCCCTCCCACAGGCGTTCACACAGGCTCTCCCTCATCAGCACCTATGTCTGCTGCCGGCCCCACCTCTTTCTCAGGAAAATTTCTTAAAAGAGTGATTTGTCTTCCTCCGTGTTTCAGAGGTGCTGAGAGAAGAGGGTGGCTCCGTGAGTGAACTGGACAGGGAGGCTCGCTTTGAAGCCTTGGGGATAATAATTTCTTCTCATGTTCGTGTAACTGCCGTAACACTTTTAACTTTTCAAAACCTTCGATGCTCGTTTGAACGTCACAGTGGCCCCCAAACAGATTAATCAAGCAGAGGCAGGGGACAGTGGAAAGGGAAGGTCACAGCGGAGGACACGCGAGCCCGACACTATAATCGGCCTTTCCCCGATGCCAGGACGGTCTGCTGTACCCCGCAGTCCTCGCCCAGTGCTCTCCCAGTTCTTTTTCTTAACAAGACCTCACAGTTTTGGGAACTGCTGCCTTGCAGCCATGGTTAAAAAACAAATAAGAAGCGCCTCCTCCCTCAGTGTTTGCAGTTACAATCTTTCGGTAGAGATCTGGGGTCAGGAGGACCTACCTAGTTTTCTCTTGATTGGTATAAATCTTTACCCGGTTGGCAGTAAAGAGGAATCTGAAATTTAGAAGAAAGACCATATTTCAGGAAAAATAATAAGAAAAAACAGTTCACGTTTTTACAAAAATTACATTTTGATAGGGGTTGGGAGTGTAGCTCAGTGGCAGAGTGGTTGCCTGGCATGCAGGAGGCCCTGGGTTTAATCCCCAGCACCACAAAATAACAGCAACAACAAAAACCTCCAAACAACCGGAAAACAGCATTTTGAAAATATTGTTAACTTACTTTTCACTTACTATTTTCACCCCATTATATAAGTGGTAAACTGAACTCTAAAATATTAGAGCAGAAGACTTAAAACTACCCTGTTCAAGTAACTCATAGCATCATTCAGATGCTCACAAAAATTTACTAAGCGTCGTTCACTCCAGAACACAACTTGAGACTATTTCAACTTTACTGATGAGAACTGAGAAAGTCTTATTCATCAAGTTGGTGAGATCATTTGAGGGCCAATTCATGCCTGGCAGGTTAAAAAAAAAAAAAAAAGGACAACTGACTTAATCTAAGCAATAAAAAGAATACTTCTCAGGTGCCAAGGGCCGAGCGGACGGCTTGGCGCACATCCCCTGTGCAGTGTTCACACAGCCCTGTCAGGGAACACCATAATTACACCCACTCTCCACACAGGGAAACTGCAGCGTGGTGAGGCTGAATCTGGTGAGGCAGGATTCGAACCTCAGTTCGTCTGATCACAAAGCCCTTGTTCTCACCTGTGACGCTTTACTAACGCACTTCTGTGTTGGGAGTGAAAACCGGGCAGAAGCACCCGGCACTTACAACTCATACCAGCCGCACAGGGACTGGTCAGAACCAGCAGGTGAGTGCAGGCTATGTTTACCCCGACACTGGAGATCTCAGAGAGCAGACTGGCTTCGTGCCCCGCATGACAACTGGCAAGTCCCATCACAGGCAAAGACTGTGTCTCAGCCCTGGGCCGAAGGTTCCCTCATGCAGCGGAGGGAACATGATACACAGCGTGCTGCAGACAGCCTCGCAGCCAGCTTGCCCAGGGCATAAAGTGAGCCACCTCCTTTCTGCTTCCTCGCTGGGCCTCCCATCTCCTGATGTATCCCCTTCTGGGAAAAGCAGTGACAGCGGGACCACGAGGAAACTGGTTCAGCATAGATGTGAAAGAGCTCTGCAAGGAGCTGACAGTATTCTGCAGTGGACACCACTCTTCCCCACCCCTACTGCAGGGCCCTCACCTACATCAGGGCTGGCCCATCACAGCAGAGCAGTCCCTCAGTCAGTGACAGAATCAGCAGTGCAATGCCTACTCTTGGTCACCTTAAGCTCAACCTGATAGTCAAACCCTGACAGGCACAGCTGGCCTGGGTTCACTCTGGACACAGGGCCGGAAACAGTCCAGAGGGCAGCATCAGACACATTTCCTTAGCGAGAGCCAATCCTGCATTCCAGGGGGGTTCACTGGTCCCCATGTGAGTAAAGGAACACCCTCCTGTGTGCCCCACAGGGACCAATACCTCTTGCAATAAACAGTTCTTGGGCAGTGTCCAGGCGGCCCAGCTTAGCCAGGTAAAGAACCAGTGCAGGCAGGGCGCCCAAAGCCTTGGTGTCTCACCAGGGGCCTCCACACGTCTGCCCTTTCTGAAGCAGCCTGTCGTTTGCACCAAGGGATGGTATGCCACATCTGCCCAGCAGGGTAAGAGGAGCTTTCTCAGAGTGGGGAAAGGGCTTTTAAAACTCTACTCAAAAGGGGAGAGCATAGATGCCAAGTCAGACCAGTCGAAGTCATTCCCTTTCCAGGCAGCACCAGCCTGCAGATGCTGGCGGCTTTGTCACTGTGAGGAGGAACCCAACCTTGAGGGGGACACGGCTGAGACTGTAAGAAATGGTGCCATCTGACATCTAGTCACCACCATCTCATGCACAAAGCCAGTGTGATCTCTGAACATTTCAGTTAAACTCCTTCGTGTTTAACCATTTGGGGTTGGGTTTCTGGCACCTGTGATCAAGAGGCACCTGATATATACAACTGGCTCAGTAAATTCGATAGTGAAAGCAGAAAGAAGTGAGAGATGGACTGGGTGGAGGGACGAGTTTTAGTCCTTTTTCTCTGGTTAACTGATTAGATTGGAGCAAATCCTTTCCTTCTCGGGCCTTCAGAAGGGGATCAACTAGACGGCAGTTTTCCAACTGGCTGGAGCTGCTCTATGGAATTCCTACGTCTATCCTGAGCTCTGAGGGTGGGGCTCTGGCTAGAAGGCATCTATTTCTGTCTCACCCATCTACACAGTGGACATGTGTGTAATCCCTCATTTGAACAAAAGATATACAGATAAAAACAGAAAACTACTCACCTTTCAAAGGAGGCCACGCGGTCTTTCAGAGCCTGCATGAAAGGGAGGATCCAATGGTGGCGCAGAACCACGCTCTGAGACAGGCTGAGGTGGAACGCCTCCATCCTCACCAGCCGGGGCACGTAGGTCTGGGCGTGAGGCAGCAGCACGTCAAGCAGATCGGGGAACTCCTCCCTCGCTTCATCTGCAGTGAAGAGTGGAGAGGGGGGCCGTTATCTCAGCCAGGGTGTCCTGGCTGCTTGAAGAAGCCCAGAAGGCAGAGAGAAGCCTTTATTATTCTGGTTTTGAGTGTAGCCTGTGTCCATACAGCTTAATGTCTTAGTGTGCATTTCTGCTTATAGAAGCAACACATGTTCCTGGTAGGAATTCAAGTACACAAGAAGTATAAAGGGGACTTTTGGTTTCTAGTCATCCTAACAAGTAAAATGCTCAACAAACTGTAAAAACAGCAGCTTCTCCTAGATCTATAAGAGAAGTGAGAGGCCCACAAAGGAATACAGAGACTCAGAAATTAGTGGGCCAAGGGCCGGGGATATAGCTCAGTGGCACAAGATCCTGCCTGGCAAGCGCAAAGTCCTGAGTTTGATTCCTGGTACCTAAAAGAAAAAATACTGGGCCAGAAATACATGAGCTGAAATCTGCTGGAATGAGGGCCAGGACCATCACGGTCAATGGTAATGGTCTAACTGCTGGAGACTCAGGGTGTTTGATTTTTTTTTTTTTTTGTACCGGGAATCAAACTCACGACCTTCAGCTTGCCGGGCAGGCACTGTGCCTCCGAGCTACATCCCTGGCCCTTGGAGACTCAGGGTGTAGAAATGAAGTTAGAAGCTCCAGGAAGACCCACAGGGCAAGGCCCACACTGTGAAGTTTACCCCTGGACTCTACCAGGTTTTCACAGAATTTTCGAGAAAAATCCTCTTATGCTTTTCCCAGGGGACTGCAAAGAAACCACTGAGAAATGGTTGGGAGCTGTTTTTTTGTTTTTTGTTTTTTGTTTTTTTTTTCCTTTTTAACAAGGTCTATCTGACAAAACACTTTCACCAGGGCCTAAAGTGCTGGGCTTTTATCAGAGCTTGACTCTGGGGGAAGGGCAACACTGAACCCCAGCTGCCTCTAGCCTTCTTGTCCCATCTGAGAAGGGAAGAACCCAAAAAGTCTGTAAGAGGGTCACTGCGCAGAGGCTCTAGCTCACCAGAAGATGGAACCTGATCAAAGGGCTGCAGCACCCTTCCCCTCCCCAACCTCACTACCACTTTACCGAGGGCCCATTTACCACGGTCCTTACATGTTGTATCATGTCCAGCTATAAAAAAAAACACTGTAACATACAACAGCCTGGTGTGGTGGTACACTCCTATAATCCCAGCACTCAAGAGGCTGAGGCAGGAGGATCACTAGTTCAAGGCTAGCTTGGGCTACATAGTAGGTTGAAGGGCAGCCTGAACTACACAGTGAGACCCTGTCTCAAAACACCAAAACCAAACAAAGAAAAACACATAATAAAAAGCAAAAATACAGTCTGCAGAGACAGACAAAACATGAGAACTCTGTAACAAATTTTATTTTATTTTATTTTTGGTACCAAGAATCCAACTTACAACCTCACAGTTGCCAGGCAGGCGCTGTGCCACTGAGCTATATCCTTGGCTCTATAACAAATTTTAAAGACTAGAAACCATATAATTTCTGATTTCAGGCCACAGTGTAAGTGAACTAGAAGTCAATGACAGAAAGATTAGCTGGAAAATGCCCAGATGGTTAGAAATTAAACACACTCCTCTAAGTAGTACAGGGGTTAGAAGGAAAAAAAAAAAATCTCAAGAGAAATTTACAACTATGGCACTTTTGACTAACAGTACTTTTAACTAAGTGCAAAAATATAACCTGTCAAAACTTGTAGGATGCAGTAAAAGAAGTGCTTGAAACAATACATATAGCATGAAAAAATGCATTAAAGCATATACTAGAAGATTTAAATTTGTCATCATTAAAGCATATCTTAGAAGATCTAAAATCTGTCATCTAAGCTTCCATTTTAGGAATCTAGAAAAAGATGAGCAAATTCAGAGTAAGCAAAAGAAAAGTAATAAAAACTAGAGTAAAAAATCAATGAAATTGAAATTTGAAAATTTACAAAGAAAACCAACAAAACTGAAAGCTTGTAGCTGGTAGGTTTGAATATGGGTAGTATCCCCCAAGTCTATATTCACATTGCTATATCATTTATTAGTTATAACAAGTGATACATTTCATTTAACTTGAAATTTTCTGCCCTGTGAAAGACACTGTCAAGAGAACAAAAAGACAAACTGGGCACGGTGGCACACACCTGTAATCCCAGCATTCTGGGAGCCTGAACAGAAGGATTGCAAATTCAAGGCAGTCTGGGCAATTTACTGACTTAGCAAGATTCTGTCTCAAAATAAAAAACAAAAAGGGGCTGGGAATGTATCTCAGTGTGAAGGCCCTGCATTCAATCCTCAGTACCATAAACAAAACACCACCATCTACAAAAATACCAAACCAAACTAAAGAGAACAAAAAAAAACTTTCAAAGAGAATAAATTTGAAAAATATTTATTTGCAAAATATATATCGGATAAGGGGTACTAAAATGTAGAAGGAACTTTTTTTTTT